TGCATTTTCCTGATGATTAGTGATATTGAGGTTTTTTTTCATATACTTCTTGGCCATTTGCATATCTTCTTTTGAGAAATGTCTATTTAGATTCTTTGCCTATGTTTTAACAGGTTTCCTTGTTTCCTTATTATTTATTTGTTTGAGTTCCTCATATATTTAGGATATTAGCCCCTTGTTAGATGTATGGTTAGCAAATATTTTTGTTCCATTCTGTCGGTTGTCTCATTATCCCATTGATTGTTAAGAAACCCATTTAAAATATAAAGACACAAAGAGGTTAAAATTAAAAGAATAGGCAAAAAGAAATACCATGGTAATGCTATATTAGACAAAGTAGATTTCAGATCAAAAATTATTAGAAGGATAAAGGTCATTGCCATAATGATAAAGAAGTGATTTGATCAAGAAGACATAACAATCCTAAATATTAATGTACCTAATAACACAGCTTCCAAATAAAAGGAAGCAAAACTGATAGAACTGCAAGGAGAAATAGACTACTCTGCAATTATATTCAGAAATGTGTTTTCTCAATAAACGATAGAACAAGTACAAAGAAAATCAGTAGGGATATGGGATACTTGAACATCACTATTAATCACCTTGACCTAATTGACATTTATAGAGCATTCCATCCAATGACAGCAGAGAACACACGCTTCACAAATGCACACAGAACAGTTGGGCATGGTGGTTCACACCTGTAATCCCAGCACTTTGGGAGGCTGAGGTGGGTGGATCCTGACTTGAGGTCAGGAGTTTGAGACCAGCCTGGCCAACATGGTGAAACCTTGTCTCTACTAAAAATACAAAAATTAGATGGGCATGGTGGAGCATGCCTGTAATCCCAGCTGCTCCAGAGGCTGAGGTGGGAGAATCACTTGAACCTGTGAGGCAGAGGTTTCAGTGAGCCGAGATTGCACCACTGAACTTCATCCTAACTGACAGAGAGAGACTCTGTCTTGGAAATTAAAACAAAACCAAAAACCAAAAACCAACCAACCAAACAACAAACAAAATACAGAACATTTACCAAGATAGATCATCTGGGCCATAAAACAAGTCTCAAAAACCTGAAGACATTCAATTCATATAAATCTTGTTCTCTGACTATATGCATTAAAATTGGAAATTGGTAACAGAAAGTAATTGGGAAAATCCCTGAATATTTGAAAATCAGATTGTATACTTCTAAATAACCCACGAGTCAAAGAGAAAGCGAAAGGGGAATTAAAAGACATTTTTAACTGAATTAAAATGTAAATCCAATATATCAAAACTTGTGGGATGCAGCTAAAGTAGTACTTACAGAGAAATTTATAGCAGTAGTTATCTATTTTAGAAATAAGAAAAAGTCTTAAATCAATGACCTCAGCTATTACCTTAAAAAATTAGGGGAAATTTGGGAGGCTGAGGTGGGTGGATCACCTGAGGTCAAGAGTTTGAGACCAGCCTGGCCAACATGGCAAAACCCTGTCTCTTTTTATTTATTTATTTATTAAGATGGGGTTTAACCATGTTGGTCAGGCTGGTCTTGAACTCCTGACCTCAGGTGATCCCCCCCCCCCACCTTGGCCTCCAAAGTGCTTGGATTATAGGCGTGAGACACCATGCCCAGCCAACCCTGTCTCTACTAAAAATACAACAATTAGATAGGTATGGTGGCAGGTGCTTGTAATCCCAGCTACTTGGGAGGCTGAGGCAGGAGAATCACTTAAACCCAGGGAGGGGGCTGTGGGGATGGAGGTTGCAGTGAGCCAAGATCGCACCACTTCACTCCAGCCTGGGCAAAAGAGAAAAACTCTGACTCGAAAAAAAAAAAAAAAAATAGAGGAAAACAAGCAAATGAAACTCAAAGTAAATAGAAGGAAGAAAATAATAAAGATTAGAGTAGAAATCAAGGAAATTGAACACAGAAAATCAGTGGAGATCTTTTTTGAGATCAATGAAGTTGATTAAACTTTAGCCAGATTAACTGAGAGAGAGAGAGAGAGAGAGAGAGGATACAAATGACCAATATCGGGAATGAGAGGTGACATCACTACAAATTTTATAGATAGTAAAAGAATAACACAGGAATTCTATGAACAACTTTATGCCCATATAAATTAAATAGGCAAATTTCTTGATAGATACAACTACCAATAAGAAATTTAAACCTGAAAATCCCTATATTAAAGACAATAAATTTGTAGTCACCTCAAGCTGGACACAGTGACTCATGCCTGTAATCACAACATTTTGGGAGGCTATGGCAGGAGGACTGCTTGGGCCCAGGAGTTTGAGAACAGCTTGAGCAATATGGTGAGACCTCGTCTCTATAAATAATGAAAAATTTAGCCAGGCATGGTGGTGCATGCCTGTGGTCCCAGCTATTCAGGAGGCTGAAATGGAAGGATCATTTGAGCCCGGGAGGTTGAGGCTGCAGTGAGCTGTGATAGCACCACTGTACTCCAGCCTGGGCAACACAGCAAGAATCCTGTTTCAAAAAAACAAGCCCAGGTGCACTGGCTCACGCCTGTAATCCCAGCACTTTGGGAGACTGAGTTGGGTGGATCACCTGAGATCAGCAGTTTGAGACCAGCCTGGCCAACATGGTGGAACCCTGTCTTTACTAAAAATACAAAAAATTAGCCAGGTGTGGTAGCGGGTGCCTGTAATCCTAGCTACATGGGAGGCTGAGGCAGGAGAATCCCTTGAACCTTGGAGGTGGAGGTTGCAGTGAGCCGAGATTGCGTCATTGCACTCTAGCCTGGGGAACAAGAGGGAAACTTTGTCTTAAAAAACAAAACAAAACAAACAAAAACAAAAGCAAAAACAAAAAAACCCACCAAAACCCAAAACCCAAAAACTTTCCCACAAAGAAAACTCCAGGCCCAGCTGATTTCACTAGGCAAATCTACTAAACAGTTAAGGAACATGTAATGTGAATTTCACACAGACTCTTCCAGAAAATCAAACAGGAGGGAATACTTTCTATTCTATGAGGCCAGCATTACTGTGATACCAGGACTAGACAAAGGCATTAGAGGAAAACTACAGACCAATACACTTCATAACACAGATGCATTAACTCTCAACAAAATATTAGCAAACCAAAACCAACAATCATGGTCAATACATTATCCTAGGAATGTGAGTTTAGTTTAACACTTGAAAATTAACCATTATATTAACAGACTAAAAAGAAACAACATATGCAGAAAAAGCATTGACAAAATTCAACATCCATTATAGATAAAAACCCTCAGCCAAATAGGCATAGAAAATTCCTTCCTCAACATGACAAGGGGTATTTAGAAAAAGCCTATAGCTGACATCACATTTAAAAGCCAAAGATTGAAAGTTTTCTCCTAAGATGAGGAACTAAACAAAGATGTCTGCTGTTACCACTTCTATTCAACATTGTACTAGAGATTCTAGCCAGTGCATAAAGGCAAGGAAAAAATAAACAACAACATCCAGATTGGAGAGGAAGAAGAAAAACTGTGTATTTGCAGATTGTATGTTCATCAGTAGAAAATCTAAAGGAATCTACAAAAAGCTCTACTAAAGGTATTAAATGAATTTAGCAAAGTTTCAAGACATATGATCAATATACAAAAATTAATTCTATTTCTATATAATACCAATGAATAACCAGAAATTGCCATATAAAAATAGTATTCAATAACATCAAAAATATGAAATATTTAGGAATAAATTCCAGAAAGGTGAACAAGATCCATATCTTAAAAACTATAAAATTAAACTACATTAAATTGAGACATTAAAAAGGACTGAAATAAAGTGTTCATGGAATGTAAAATTTGATTTTGTTTTGATATAAGTTCTTCACAAGCTGACCAATAGATTCAATGCAATCTTTATCAAAATCTCAGTGGCTTTTTGTTGAAACCTGACAAGGTGATTCTAACATTCATATGGAAATGCAAGGAACCTAGACTAGCAAGATCAATACTAAAAAAGAAGGGCTAAGTCAAGGGCTGAAACTGCCTGATTTCAAGATTTATCACAAAGGGAGAGTAATCCAGACAGTGTGGTATTAGCGGCAAGACAGACAAATATATCAATGAAACAGAAGGAGAGTTTAGAACTAGATTCTTTCATACTTGAGCAAATGATTTTTTGAAAAGATGCAAGGGTAATCAGTGGAGGCAGGATAGTGTTTTCAACAAAAAGTATGGGGACAACTATATATCTATGCAACAAAACAACAAAAGAACTTCAAACTATATTTCATACCACATACAAAAATCAAGTCAAAATAGATTCTAAACCTAAATGTAAACTCTAGAACTATAAAATTTCTAGAAGAAAACATAGGATAAAGTGTTTGGGGCCTTGTGTCGGGCAATAACTTAGTAGATATGACACCAAAAGCACGAGCCATAGAAGAAAAATAACAAATCCAACTTCAGAAAAATTAAGAAGGTGTACCTTTTTTTCTTTTTAAGAGACAGGTTCTGGCTATGTTGCCCAGGCTTGAGTACAGCAGCTATTCACAGGCCCAATTATAACACACTCCCGCTTCCAACTTCTGGCCTCAGGCGATCTTCCTGCCTCAGCCTCCTGAGTAGCTGGGACTACAAGTGTGCACCAGGGGACCTGGCTGAAGGACCTCTGCTTTTGGAAAAACACTGTTAAGAGAGTAAAAAGAATAAGAAGATAAGCCTATACTGGGAAACCATATTTGCCAATCACATATCTGATAGAAGATTTGTATCCACAATATATAAACAACTCTACAATTTTTTTTTTTTAATTTTAGAATTGGAGTCTTCTGTGTTGCCCATGCTGGACCTGAAATCCCAGGCTTAAGCAATTCTTCCTGCTCAGCGTCCAGAGTAGCTGGGACAGCAGGCATGCGTCACTGGGCCCAGCCAGGATATATAAACAGCTCTTAAAACTCAATAACAAGGAAAAAACCCACCAGTTTTTAAAATAGGATAAAGACTTGAAGAGACACTTTGCCAGGAGGATTTACTGATGACAAGTTCATGAAAAGATGTTTAACATCTTTAGTCACCAGTGAAATAGAAGACAAACCCACAATGAGATAACACTACAAACCTATTCAAATGGCTAAAATTCAAAAGACTGATCACTCCAAATGTTGGTGAGGATGCAGAGCAACTGAAATTCATATGCTGCTGGTAGGAATGGAAAGGCACAACCATTTTGGAAGGCAGTTTGGCCCTTTCTTAACACGTTAAATATACACCTAAAACAGGACCCAGTTATTCCATTCCTAGATATTTATACCCATGAGAAATGAAAGCATGTATATCCATACAAAGACCTGCACACGAACGCTCATAACAGCTTTGTTCCTAACGTGCAAACAATGGAAATAATCCAAATGTCATCAATAGGTGATTGGATAAACATATTGTGCTGTATCCCCGTAAAGAATATTACTAAGCAGTAAAAAAGAACTCTTGGTAGGCAACGACTGAATAATCTCAAAACGATTATGCCAAGTGGAAGAAGCCACACAAAAAAGAGAGTTTGTACTGTATGATTCCATTTATTTAAAATTCCGGAAAATGCAAACCAATGTACAGTAATAGAAAGAAGATCAGTGGTTGCCTGGAGAGGGTGTGTGGGGGCGAGCGATGCAGCGAGTGAGTACAAAGAGGCACACCGAGAAATTTTGGGAGGTGATGGGTGTGTTCATTACCTTGGTGGTGATGGTTTCATGAGTGTACACATGTGACAAAATTGTACGCTCAAAACACACGCAAATATACCCCAGTAAAGCTAATTTAAACTGTATTGTAGAGGGCACATTATGTGATAAGCAAACCGTGTGCCAGGCTGTTAGCAACGTGTGAAGTGCATTCTCCCCATTAGTACTTACAAGAAGTTTATCAGGTTGCTACTGAGCTTGTTTCCTTTTACAGACGAGAACACCGAGGTTTGGAGGGTTGTTACACCCTCTTTCCCTCTTGAGATTGGTGGCAGGAAAATATTAAGTAGAGGAGGGGCACAGTAAAGTGCCAAGAGCTCTGGCACTCATTGCCTAGATCCTCTTGAGGGTGGAATGAGCGGTTGAAACCCTCATGCCTACCTTGCAGATGGACAGACTGAGGATCGGAGAGACTGAGGTGGCCTGGGGGCTGTCAGGTAGGCAGCGCCTCCCCGCTCCTGGCAGCAGGTCCCCGTGGGCTGAAACACCAGCCTCCACCTGCCACTGATTGACTTCTTTCTTTTTCAGCGGGCCCAAGACCCTGCAAATTGAGTTCTCTGTGTTTTTGGGTGTCAGAAACTTCACTGAGCGCGGCACTGCTGCGGGGCAGGAGAAAGGTAAGAGTTGGCGCTGAAGGAGCACGCGAGTCACCACGACAGCTTTCGGGTCTCGCCGCCCGGCGCTGGCAGGCAGGCAGCCAGCCGGCGTCTCGCCGCGGGTCCGGGCCCTCAGCCCGCGGCCCCTCCCGGCGGCTCGGCGGGGGCGTCGCGGAGGCGGGCCCGGGGACGCTCGCTGGCGCTCCCGCGCGGCGCCCCCTGCCGGCGCCCTGTTCCCTCTTGCCCCTGATCCGCTTCCAGCGGCGCGGGGACCCGGACCTGAGAGCCAGGGGAGGGCGGCGCGCTGCGGGTGAGCGGGCGCGCCCTGCGGGGGTAGGTGGGCTGCAGGGGCGCGTGTGGGCGGGGGCGCGGGGCGGCGGCGGCGGCGGCGCGTGCTGGCGGGCGGG